GGTTTCATTTGGTTTTGTTTGTGTATGTTTTTTTGACTCTCAAAGCCGTGATTCACATTCACTTCCATTATAAGACTGACAGACTGCAACGGTTTGAGTTAAAAATCTTCGTTTGTGTTCTACTGAAGAAACAAAGTCACCTACATCTTGGATGCCCTGGGGCTAAGCAGATAAACATCAAATTTTCATTTTTGGGTGAACTATCCCTTTAAATTATTGGCTTGTATATTTTTTATTACACTAAAGCCAAAAACGCATTTTTAGAGTAATGATAGATGATCAATTTTCAAAATAAAAAATATGCAGATTTGGGTCTTATTTCTTTTTATTCAAAACAAGGTTTGTCCAAAAATAAATAATACAAAAATGCAGAATAAAATAGAATAAAATGATCACAATTAATCTAATAATTTCTGACCAGTATGTAAGGAGAGAGCAACTAAACATCTTTATTATTTCCTACTCTGCTAAAAGTAATGCAATATTATGCATTTGAAAGCATAACGACGAGTAACTTTGTGTCTGCCAACTATTTTGTTGGAAAGGCCTGGAGATACTAAATCTTTTTTTTTATTATATATTATATTATTAGATATTCTATATTGTTATGATAAATATATAATATTATATATCGGAGTTTCTCATTTCTGGCTCGTGCCTGCAGCCAAATCGCACCCTTTATGTTATGCGGAATAAAACATCAGTGAATAATCGAACAACACTAACTTGCCTTGACTACTCTGTACATTATCATTGTCTAATCACTGTCATGCTTTCTCCTTCTATGCTCTTCTTTTCTACCCTGTCTTACTTTTTCCCAGCTTGCAGAACTTGAGGAAGGAGAAGTCGCGCAATGCAGCTCGTTCTCGGCGGGGTAAGGAGAACTTTGAGTTCTTCGAGCTGGCGAAGATGCTTCCGCTCCCCGGGGCAATTACCAGCCAGCTGGACAAGGCCTCCATCATCCGCCTCACCATCAGTTACCTGCACATGAGACACTTTGCCAGCCAGGGAGACCCACCCTGGAGCCCTCTACGGGAGGGAGGGAACAACTGCAACAAGGGTAAGTGTGTGCAGTACACCTAGAAGAAGGAGTGTCAAACTCAATTCCTGGAGGGCCAGAGCCCTGCAGAGTTTAGATTCAACCCTAATTAAACACACCTGATCCAACTAATCAAGTCCTTCAGGCTTATTTGAAAACTACATGGTAAGTGTGTCGGAGCAGGGTTGGAACAAAACTCTGCAGGGCTCAGGCCCTCCAGGAACCCCTGACCTAGAGAATGGGCGTGAATGGAATGGCATTTTACCTACTATGTGAAAAGAAAGTAGTATGGATGGACAAACTAGATCTTTTTTACACAAAATTGGAATAAAATGCTAAATAACCAGAATAATAATCCATAAATGGGGATCAAAGAAGGGCCAGAAACCTAGGAGGTCAATTTAAGTCGTATGTGTGCTGTTTTATTTTCTAATAATTTTTATTAGCAAAATTTTGGACATATATATTTACACACACACACACACACACACACACACACACAGCTATAAAAATTTTTATAAAAATGGTTCAAATAATACATAATCATCTGCCAGTAGGTGCAACTTTGAGACCAGATGTTATTTTATAATTAAACTAATCACAAACTGATCAAATTATATTTCACTTACATTTATTTTTTTTTGCTTCATAATCAGGTGTTATTTTCTAATTATAACATTTTGAAAACACCTGTTTATGAAGCTATGTTGAAAAATGACTTTTTCAAAAAGTCAAAAAGAACTTTAAAAAAAAAAAAATAATAATAACTTTTTCATATATTTTATCTTGTTAGAAAAATGTGGGCTATATTTAGGTCTATTGTTTTTTTGTTTTTTTTCCTAGAGATAAACCTTGCATTAAAAAAATAAATAAAATAAGATTAAATCAACAAACAAATAAATAACAGATAATAATAGTAATAATAGTAACAGTAATACATGTAAATTATATTAAATTATAAATTCCCACAAATTGAAAGAAAAATATTTTTGGGTTATTATTATTATTTTTTTCAATATTGCTTCGTAAAGGGTGTGTTCCTTTTTATAACATTTAAAAGAGCAAGCCTGATTGTCTACATTTTGAAGATACATTGAATACACAGTAAAGAAGATGAGCGATGGAAAATGCGGGATCCTTCACTACATCTGGTATATTTTGAGGCAGATTTATACAGTGGGTACGGAAAGTATTCAGACCCCCTTAAATTTTTCACTCTTTGTTATATTGCAGCCATTTGCTAAAATCATTTAAGTTAATTTTTTTCCCTCATTAATGTACACACAGCACCCCATATTGACAGAAAAACACAGAATTGTTGACATTTTTGCAGATTTATTAAAAAAAGAAAAACTGAAATATCACACGGTCCTAAGTATTCAGACCCTTTGCTCAGTATTTAGTAGAAGCACCCTTTTGATCTAATACAGCCATGAGTCTTTTTGGGAAAGATGCAATGAGGCTTTCATCGACAGCATCAATCCTGACGTCGATTTGTATTTGTGGTGCCATTAACAGAGGAGATGGCTTTGAGTGAACCTCAATCCAAACATGACAGTGGCGGCCTGTCGATGAATACAAATGCATTATTAATTTAAATTATGAATTTAAATGGAATAGGCTATTATTGTCTTATAGGTCGCTCGCATACGTCGCTTGGGATACTCTCACGTCGAAAATTGCCGGAGAAGAGAGCGATAGAGCGCTTACACATGCACATGCAGACCGACACACACACACACACACACACATACACACAGAAAAGTAATTGAGATTGCGCCACAGGAGTAATCACTCACAGTCATGCAGAGTTAAACACAGCTCATCTGAAATAATGCCTTTGCTAGTTCACTACCACCTTATTGCAGCATACAGTATACAAATTGCAGGAGCAGAATCCACTGTCAAAGCCATCATCGGGATACATATTCCTTTCTTATGTCTCTTTTCAGAGGAGTCTCTGTCATTTGAGTTTAATTTGAGAGCAGGGTATGCTCTGTCATTCATTACATCCTCTGATAGGTTCATCTCAATTGTGAGGTGAACAATAGATCTAACAGCCAATTAGCCGCTGCCTGTGTGTGGAAGCTGGCGGGGCGAACAAAAGAGCCAGAGTCCTCGCTGAAGCTTGTTAACAAGTGGCCAGACCAAGGAAGTCTGTTTCTGAGAGATGGTCTTTTTGTAGCCCGCCTGTGAGTCTCATTATACCTGCCGCATCAAAGCCATTCATCCTGTTAAAATACCTGGGTGAATGTCTCTTTTTCTGCTCACTGTTTTTGTCTGTCAGTCTCTGTATTCTGTTTCAAAGCCTGGTGAGCTGCCTTGCTCTCTGTGACTTACTAAGCGTTCGACAGTCAATCTAGCTGTTTAATAATGTAGTATCTACACTGCCAGCTACTATCAAAACGTGGTTAATT